TTGTGTGTTGACCTTTTGTGTGTATAACCCAGCTTAATTCTGAGCTCCACAGCTTGAAGGAAGCTGATTGTGTGTGAAAATGAGTTTTAATTGTCTGTTGTCACCGCCCGTGCTGTTTTGGTTTTTTAACAGACTGTCCTAGCATTGTTTGCAAATTGTGTATTTGTTAATAATTAGTGTATTGTAGATGCATCTGTGCATAACAGATGCAGCTCACTCTTGATATACAGAATACTTTTATATCAAAATACTCTCATAGAGAGCGAATTCTGAGAATCCTAATTTTTTTAATTCATTTGTTTTTCTTTGTTTCATAGCAAAAGACCTTGTTATAGCAAAACAATTTTTGTGGGCCCTGCAGCTTTGTTATAGTGAGAGTTGACTCTACTGAATTAGCTTAAGTTTACCAAAAAGTTCTGAATGTGGAAGACAGTTGGAATTTTACACGTTTGCAGAGAGAATTTCAAAGTACATGTAATTGCAGCTATTTCTAACATCATCCTCAACCTCCTCCCCAAACCTTTCCTCAGTCACTATTGATAAACCTTACATAACGGTACTCAGAATTCGCTTTTACAATGTCAATTTTTTTGCCTCTCAGCTAAATCAGTCCGGCTGGTTCCCATGAAGACATCTGAAAAAAATCCCTCCAAAATGTGGGTTTTTTTCTGTTTCCTTCATTGGAGGCGGTGGACAATCCGTCACAAACCCTGAGGAATTGACTTTCACATTATTTAATGTCCTCAACTTGTGTTGAGAGGAAAAAAAGTGTTAAGGAACTGCATTTGGTTACCAAATGATGCTTGGCATACACATATATGTAGTCTAAGGAAGGCACAAATATCAGACCATCTTGGAGTGAAGTTAACATTGAAGCATTTTTTCCAGTGTCAGCAAATCAACTTACATTCAGATGAGGCCCGTTCACTTTGTATGAATTCTTTGTTGGCCAAGAAGGCATGTTTATTGCCTTTTCTAAAGTTTCATTTTGATGCTTGTACTTTCCTGTTTGAATTGTAGCCATTTTGGAGTGCATCAGCCTCCCCTGCCAGAATGGAGCAATGTGCATCGATTTGGTAAATGGCTACCAGTGTCAGTGTCTACCAGGGTACACGGGAGACTTGTGCGAAATAGGTTGGTTCCTTGCTGCAGTCTGCCCCGCCTCCAGTACAAACCCACTCCTGGATCAAGATCCTTTCTGACTCCTTTTCACCAAATAGTGTGATCCACAAATCACTGTCTTCAAAGCTTCATGGCACTAAGCTGTCTTTACTGCAAGACCCACTCTTAGAATGAACTTCCACCCAAACGGAACAGGTGCACTTGCTATGAGTGGTCAGTCTGTTGACGGCGAGTGAATTTTAAATGTAAACTAGTACAACATGACCAAAATTTCTAAAGAGCTCATAGCCCTGAACTTGTACGATGGAAATCAGTAGTAAATGTCAAAATTCTCACCCACAATATGTCCAAGTTTTACAAATGATTATGTTATAGATTTTCCAATACTTTTTTTACCTGTAGCATAAACAGTCCCTCGAATGATAAATTAATTTTATCCCCAAACATTGTCAAGCTGAATTCCTAATTTTGATTTCAAAAAGTTCATTTAAGGTGAAGTGCAATTCAAATATGTGGGATTATGCTTTGTCCTGATTGAAGTAAAATTGTTTTGCATGGCAAGTGGTTCGGAGTAGTGTCAGGAAGGAGAGTAAATTAACAGAAATCAAGAAGACGGGTCGTTGATAACAGCACGCATAGGGAATTATCGTTGTTAATATGTGTATTTCGAACATGTAATGTTGTAATGTCATGTAATCAAGTAGATTAACAGAAATCAAGAAGACGGGTCGTTGATAACAGCGCGCGTAGGGAATTATGGTTGTTAATATGTGTATTTCAAACATGTAATGTTGTAATATAATGTTAAGTAGATTAACAGAAATCAAGAAGACAGTTGTTAATAACCATTTGAGTAGAGTTATGGTGGTTAATAGATGTATTTTGAATCATGTCCTTCTTTGGTCCATTTTCTGTCTTTGAGCCCATTGGACTTCAAATTTATAAATCAAATTTATAGTGTTTCTTGCTGTTTCTCAAAGATATTGACGAGTGCGCCTCCAGTCCTTGTTTGAATGGAGCAACCTGTCTGGATCTAGTCAACAGTTTCCAGTGTATGTGTCCAATGGGATACACAGGGACCTTGTGTGGCACAGGTGAGTCCATGAAATAGTTATAAAGATGACGTTCTAATGTATAGCAGTTTGGTCTGTCCATCTATGCTGTCCATGAAATTTATTTGGTGTTTTTTAGATGTCATCGAATGCGGCAGCTTCCCTTGTA